ACGAGAACAAGGAACAACCCAGTGATCCAACGAACCAAGAGGAGGGAGGGTATAAATATGTGAGAAGAAAGAAGGGACAGAAATGCGAACTAGGTCGAGGGTGTAGGCACCATCGCAATCTCGATCAGGAACACGTGTGAGGAGGCCAACTGGCTGGCTCAGGTTGCTGACCAAAACGAAATATGCGTCTTCGCACCCCAAAGAAGTAGCAGATGACTTTGTCAACCAATCGTGATCATGAATGTCAAAATCTCCCAAGGTGGTAACATAGCAGTTGGGGTCGGTTGCAAACAAGTGTTCAATGTTCGAAGATGAAAAGTCGAATATGGAAAAGTCGCCGCTACAGGGAAACGATATGGAACACCAAAGTAATGAATAAAGGAAAGAGGTCGAAATTTCAGCCACATCAGCTGAAGTTCACGATCGGAAAAGTCAAGATTTGGGATCCTGGAGGCGGCGAGTGATGGTGAACAAAGGCGCAGACACCAGGTTTGGGTAGAACGGGAGAATAGATAGAGTAGTTAGGACCTTGAAGATGGGTGGTGTCTGACGAGGGGGAGATTTGTGTTTCGATCAAAAAATTGATGAGCGAAGAAGAATAATGGAGAAACCGGTGTACAAAATCAATATTGTGGCTCAGTCTGCGAATTTTGGGGAGGGTAACAAGTGCGTGTTTCCAGCGTAGAGTGAGCGGAGTGGTTTTGTATTGCCATAACTACGTTGTGAGGAAACCGGCAACCATGATCCCGAAACGCTGAGTGGCGGACCACAAGGCTTCAATAGATTTGGCTTGGTAGTGAGCCGGGGGGCGACAGAGCCGTCTACCTTTCCGACATTGGTTCGCAGAACGTGGTAGATCGATATGATAAATAAGTCCCTCACTGATCTAATAAAATCCCCATTTCAGTCAAAATTGATACACTACTACTGCCAAGTAAGATGTGTTGAAAGACATGAAAAATGAATAGAAAGCCATGGCAGTTTCGTTTGGCATAAACATGTTTATCTGAAATCCCCATATTTGTTGCTTTCGTGCTACTTTCCTATTGCATCTTTCCCCAGTGGAGGCGATTTCGTGATTAATACAACAGATCCCTAAGATATTGAATACATTATTTGCTCAGCAACCGTTACACTCTTATCACCAGTCAACGTCTCACTCATGCACGACAAAGTTCTCAAACTCAATTTTTCATCTTTTGGAGATTCGGTCGCCAAATCGGTCACCATTGTTTGTTTATTGAACAGCAAGTGTATGATAAAGTGGAGTAGTTATTTGCAGCTTCTAATTTTTCCCTGCACAGTGGCAATCGTCTTGGAAACAAAACGTTTAAACCTCGAAAAAACATTACTGAAAAGGACAAACAACATGATCTTCTCGTATTGGAAGCCGCTGCCACTTTGGGGAGCGGTGACCTGCGTCAAGCTGTACAACTGCCAGAAGGTGAAGATCTTCATGAATGGATAGCCATTAATAGTGAGTTTTGTTTAGAGCGTTTCTAATCCGTATTCCGCTGTTCGCTTTCTCTCGATATTTATTGAATAAAGCTGCAGGTAATCAAAATCTGTTTCGTGACATTCACAAGTAAAAAAAGATAAACTACGCAAGCTCCATATCTGCCTGGTTGTTATCTTAACCGCCGTCATCATCATCATCATCTTACAGCCCAATACAGTGAAACGAACTGATCGCAGATCGCTGCCAAACTCGCTATGCATACGAGTTTGGTGGTAAAATTTAAGGTGGACAAAGATTGGACCTATTTTGAGCGAGGGGAAAGAAGGTGAACTTCTATGGTCAACACACAGAGTGCACAATCGAACTCTGTATACATACCGTTTCAATTATTCTGGTCTGATAAAAAATGAAAACAAGAACGCCACTGCTGTCGGTTCGCTGTCATATCCTTCAATGTCTCCAACCAATCAACCACTTGCGCAGTCTTCCGGATCCAAACCTGAAACTCGCGTGACACTTACTCTACCCAATGACTATGTGCATTTCTTCATGCCTCGTCTCCACGTTATCTGTTGACCTCCACGTGGTTTCCTCCAACCCCCGAGCGGTTACAGGGAATAAAGCGCGATGTGGTAGACGGTAGTTGGGCATACGTAATACGTGCCCGAGTCAGCGAAGCCCAATAATCTGAATTCGATGTGCTGGGCGGTTTATGTCTGACGGACTTCGAAACACACGACGGCTTACCTCCAGATTACTACTAACCCGTTCACTCCATCCCACGTGGAAGAAACTACGTAAATACGGATAGTCGAAAACTTCTAGTCGATGGATTTCTTCTACTCGCAAATTCAAGGTCTCATACTCATAAAGTAGAACTGAACGAACGGTAGCACAATATACACGACCGGTGACAGATTCAAAATCATCTTATTTTTTTTAAATTTTGAGTAGATAAGATAAACATTCTACTTGAGAAATCGTTGTTCTCATTTTGTATCACCAGCGGTGGACTTCTACAACCAAATAAATATGCTATATGGAACTTTGATCGAATTTTGCACCGAGGAATCCTGTCCGGTGATGAGCGCTGGATCCAAATACGAATACCATTGGGCTGACGGACAAACTGTAAAAAAACCCCTGAAGTGTTCAGCTCCGCATTATATCAACTGTTTGATGAGTTGGATCCAGCAACAGTTAGAGAATGAAGCCATTTTTCCCTCAAAAATTGGTAAGTTCGAGTACTTGTGTTATTTTTTCCCTTCCAATTTTATCCCATTCACTTAGTTGGCTAGACATCTTCCATATTTGTTGCATATCTTTCAGTAGTTCAACATTAAACGAAAAACAATTTGTTATGCTTCATTTATTGCCCAGCACCTGCAATTATCATTATTGTTATTATCACAACTGCATCACAATATATCGATCACATCAAAGTCACTTTTTCCCTCACACTTTCAGTTTAAGTCAGAGTTTGTTTTAGTTTGAACAACCATTAAGTATGCATTTTCGTGCGTCGCTTTTGGTTACTGTCTTTTGACTACCCACTTGGATGAACATTATGAGGAAACAGGAAGGTTGAAAGTAGGAACGAAGAGAAAATTGAATCGTTCAGTGGACTAATGTTGCAAGGAAATTGAGAAAATGCACAAACTCCACTGCTTACGACACTCAGCCATATTACTGAGTGTTTCTAATCATCGGTTACGATCATCCCGAGGTTCCCAGCCAGGAAGCATAACGGGACCGATGTGACCCAGACTCCTGGTTAGGGTTTTCATACCCTCATGCCAGGTCTTCATTTGACCGCCTTTAGCTTTGTTCCACCCACTACCTGCCTCGGTGAACATCGCCCACCGTGGTAACCTATTTGGTGACATGCGTAAAACATACCGCAGACAGCGTAATCTATAAAGGTTGACCACTTGCTCCAGTGGGCGACCGCGGTTGCCTAAAACTCTGCGCCTAACCTCGGCATTGCTCGTCCGGATGCCCAGTACTAAAAAAGTTATCTTTGAATAGAATTAGGTAGGACCATCGGAGCCCTAACCTTTTAGAGATTCCGGTTAATGTTTGAGGAAACTAAAACTAGTATTATTATCCCTGTGTATCATTTTGCTACTTCCATACACGTGTAGTGTGATGTGGGTGCAGAAATTATACAACACGTACGCAGATCCGCGGGAAGACTCTGAAATGATAGCAATGGACTCTCGTTACCACTGGCACTCGACTGCACTTCTCGTTGTCGGACACGCATACGAAGGGGAACAGGACTACGCGCACGAACGTATATTGTAGTACAAACTGTCACAAAGCAAGGTACAAGATGTATATGCGAAGGGGGCACACAAAGTTGGTATGAATTATGGGTTCTATTGTGTACCTCTTGACACGCTCTTCTGCTCGTTCATTCTCAGTGTTCACCGTGTTGAACCATTTTGTGTCTGAACAGGGATGAAATTGGTTGGAACTCTTTTTAGTCATATTGTTGACATTTCCGGCTTGTTCGGTTTCAATGGCGTTACCATATAGTATACAGTCTAAACAATCAGAAAATTAGCTGGAACCTCAATTCCCCCGTTACACAACATTTCATGCTGACAAAATTGTGACATAGTGTTGAGCGATGTGCCACATCACCCCCGCGGGGGAGCGGAACAGGGGGGATTACATTGATCGCAAACAACGTTCTCAGTCAAATGGGACTAGCAAGCACACCTCGAGTTAAGTGATGTATACTCTCTTGATGAACGTGGACTGAGGTGTGCCGAACCAACTGGCAATACAATGAATGAAACTGTAGTATTGTGCTATCGGCATACCTCGGTACAGAGATAAATGAAATAGCCCAGTCTCTCTCTCTCTCTGTGTGTGTGTGTGTATGTGTATAGTCAGTTAATGACCTAAAAAAAGCAGGCGGAATGCCTGGAATACCAGTGAAAAAAGCCAAATAGAAAATGCTTTTCACTTGCATCAATTAGAATAGCTATGACCATTATTGCCTCATTTTCCGAGTTATAAATTTCTAATAGTGTGACAGTTTAAGCTCTCTCTCTCTCTCTCTGTACTGTTTGGTTTCGTATGTTCCACTTAAGACTACAGTGGTAAACTTTCCTGTACCACTTGATCCTTATTTCTCACTGCTCCCCCCCCCCCCNCACCTTGATTTTCGTGTCCTTTCTCTCTCTCTCTCTGTCTGTCTGTCTGTCTGTCTCACTATCAACGAACTCAACTAAAGGTGCCCCCTTCCCCCGCGATTTCGTGAACGTTGTCAAGGTCATACTGAAACGGCTATTCCGTGTGTATGCGCACATCTATCATCAACACTTTTCTGAAGTTCGAGATTTACAAGAAGAAGCACATTTGAATACAAGTTTCAAACATTTTGTCTTTTTCGTCATGGTAAGTCATTTGTACTGTACCGGATAACCCGTTTCTTTGAGCCTTTTTTTACCAACTCACACAGGTTCGATTTGATTACAACAAACAGTCAGAAAGGTTTCAACAGCTATTCGTGTAATCGGCTAGCTTATCATTCTGTTATGAAAATTACTGTATCTGTTCCTATATTCTGAAATTTGTCGTTGGAAATGTGATTGGCACAATGAATCCAAAGACCGTGTTCATACTGCGCGGATACGGTAAACAGACCGTTGAAAATAATTCCAGTGAAATTTCTGAACGTAATATCGACCATACTACTTACTACTGATTTACACAGGCTGATCTGTCTCATGGTTTGATACAAGCCCTTCGTTACTTTCCCATTCGTGTAAAACTGAATGGATTTTTCTTGGCCGACGGCATCTGAATTTTATTCTGTTCGAATACACGCGGCAGAATATCCACGCACGAAACATTCTGTGTCATTAGGCCCATCTTGACTTCACATGTAACACACTGATTCCAATGAGCTTTGTTCACAAGATTTAGTCATATCAGATGGTTCACCAAGACAAAGACACTGTTGCTGAGTCGAATTTTCAACTGCAGTTCAGTTGCACTCTTCCTCGATGAAACTGTGTCAAATGGCCATGGACGATCACAAATCACATGCCCATTTGTCCACTCTCGATCGATCCGGTTTGAAGAAAACGCTCTTTGCTTGTTTGTCACAGTTGAACCGATCTACTTTTCGCTTTGTCAGGAATAAGACGGTTGAATTCTTCTCACGTGTCCCGAAAACTCAGACCTGACGCATTCAGTCAGACGAAATGCGCTTGGTCATCGTCCGTTAAGTCCATCTCGCCATAAATGACAGTTGTGACTCGCGCAGCGAAAGGTCAACACAAAGCGGCTGGCTTTCTTCACCAGAAACACGCAAACGGTTCAAGATGATGTATGAACGAGTTTTTGAGTTGTAATCGTCCATTGCCTTTTGACACAGTGTTTTCGTCCTGGTGAATCACTTGGTCGGGCGCTCTCAGTCCCGAACGCACATTAATGTCTACGAGTTGTAATGTGCTTGTTCCTTGGCGTCAGCACATTAAATGCCACTCAATTAAAAATATTAAAGAGCCTTCAGATAACTGATGTCCGTTAGAACGTCTTCTTAGAAAATGGTTAGAGGTAGCGAGATTCTATCTGTGGAAACGCTTTTCTGTCTTTATGAAGGGTGGGATGAAATAGTGAAATCTTGATAGACAGTTGATGCATACTTATGGTGCATGTAAAGGTAGTTCTACTATATTAGTTATGTTTTGTTGCTATTCTACTCCATCGAGAAACTAGTTTTATCTCACTCATCTCGTTCTGTCTACCCTTGAACAACAATTCGTCCATTCCAACCGATCACTATAGTATTCAACATATCCTGTGCCTATTTTGCTTTACATGAATTCATGACAGTTAGGATTTCTCTACTCTGTTTATAGTGGATTAGTCCTCAGTGTTTATCTTTCAATTTAATCAGACTGAACTAATTACCCTTTCACATCCACGTTGTGGTTTTATTTCTGCATTGGACGATGGTGGTTAAGCGGTTTAAGTCATCATCACCCGTGTGCTTTGGGTCTTAGGGTCCGAGGTTCGAGCCCAAAATTTGCCACCTAACTTTCATGATAAGCAGCTTTGCTGTCGTCCGGGGCAGTACCATGCCTAACATAGCCCGGCCTTATGTAGTAAACCACTCCAAGTTTGGGGGCTTAGGTTGCAGGTTTCCATGACTGAACAACGGGTTCACGTCCATGTTCACCTAACAAAGGTGTGTATGTATTTTGAACTTGGCCACATTCAGTGGATTCCGATTCCTGTGCGATGAGGTGCCTGTTCTCGTCGTTGTCTAACCGGGGCGGGGAGAAGGTGGTAGTGATCGAAGGTGAGAGTAAATGCAATCACTATCGTTTTACTGTTCTCATGGGTTGTTTTAGATTGATGAATATACTTTTTCTTTTACTTTGTTAATGTATTTCAGGAGTTTGACTTGGTTCAGAAACGGGAATTGGCTCCGCTGCAACAGTTGATCGATTTGCTTACTGGTTCCGGCCCAGTTGTACAGCGTTCCTCAGCTGCAACCACAGAAGACTCCCACTTTGGATCCCGTCCAAGTTGATCAGCTCATCCACTGGGTTTGTTTTTCTGCATCAGGCCCACTACGTGTCGTGAAAATCATGTGCTTCCAGCTGTCTTCTCAACAGCCTTTTCAACTCCATAACACAATAATCAGTGCATACACACAGTAAATATAATATAACATATATATATATATTATAACATATATATTTCTATACCGCCAGCATGCTTTCTTGAACCATCAATCCTATTGTATAACATCACGGAATTGTTTCTTCCACAAGGATTTTGTGAAGTCCGCCGAACGCACAACCTTGTCCTTCACATTCAATCTAAATAGGCGGTATTTTGACCGCTCTATCTAGCATTATTTTCGCTTAGGTTCCTCAAATTGTGCTTTCCCGCCCCCCCCCGCCCTCCTCCTCCCCCTCCCTGAGTATTTTCATGCTGCCCCATTAGTTTTCCATCTGTTGAAACACTATTGCAATGATTTGTGCGCATCTAATCCCGACCTTCATCCCGCACACACGACAATCCGATCATCAATCAACCTTGTGGATGTGAACGCATTTTTCTTGCTCACTCCTTTTTGCTCCCGCCCCGTCTCTTGCACTCTCTTGTTGCCTTTCTCGCGATGCTCGATGACAATCGTGTTCCGGGGTCGTCTCCTCCCGCCTCCGCCCCAAGCACATTTGTGGAGTTTCTCTCTCGTTTTTTTGCGGATCGAACTGATTTCTTGAGTATTTTTTCGTGTCTAATTTGTTCCGTACACGATCGAAATTCCAACGGATGTTGGTCTGCTAATTCTGAATTTGACTTCGCATTGTTGCTTGAGCAGGCACAAGAGAGATCACAAAATGTAACCGAAGTTGAACGTTAGGATTTGGTTTATTTGTTATGCTCCACCTTGTTAGTGAGTGTCCAGGCCAGATATAGTGAGCGGTGGAATACCTTCTATGTATATATATATTCTTTAATGAGTAGCTTGGGAATAACAGTCCCAGGGAAAAGTGGATTGTGAAAATCCATAGATGCTTTCAACTCATCCTTGCTTGGATTTAAGCTCAGTCCCGATTTGGAGCGTAGACCATGGGTAACGTAGGTTAAGTCAGTTGGAAGGTAAGTCGGTTGCACATTACATCTTACTTCAATGGGCGTGATGGAAGTAATAGGACTGTTTGGAGCAAATGAGCTTTGGACTGGAAAAGCATTCCGCAGTTGGTTATTTGAAAAATTCAGGTGATACATTTGAAGTTTCAGTACATTGTGACCCGGCAGTTAAACAGTTGAATGGCCCAGGATGAGTCGGTAGTTGTTCATAGGATGTCCGTGTGTTCTTGTGGGCGTTTAAGTACTGTCATTGCAATGGGTGCATAATAGCATGTATTAACATCAGACTTTTTTAAAACCTATTAATACACCTCAAGGCCATTCATGGATACGATTGAGTCTTCTATGTATCCAGCCCTGATTCCTGGCACAAAGGACAACCTTGTTTGTATCAAACTTGATGTCTTTATAAAAGAGAATCCGATATTAGTGTAGATCGATTAGAAAACAATCTCCCTAACCAATTGGGTGCTGTTGTGATCAGCTTGCACGTGAGTGGATTTTATTTCAAGTTAAACACCCTGATTGAAACAGGAACCACAAACTAGCTGCTAGTTTAAGACGGTCTTGTAACTATCCAAGATGTATCAGATCCGAAACGAGAAGCGCTCCGAGTGCAGCACAGCCACCCAAAGAGCGCACATCCACAGTAATTGCCTTGCAAATGGCGAGAGTCTTGTTCGCTCATTTTTTTTTCTAAACAGAGAAGTATACCAACATGATTTATCATTACTTTTGATGTATCGTGGCAATGAGCTATCCGAAGAAATCGCTACACCTTATATTCGCTTTTTCAGTGTTCATGATGCAATTGAATGTGGCATGTGACTCCATGGACCGAAATTCAGTTATCGGGATGTCGTATAATTGGGTTCATGCTTGTAGTCCGATTTGGATGGACCTGATAAACTAACCTGGCGCGGGTTTGTTTAGCGGATATCACACACACATGACATGTGTTCTGCTACTGCTCCTTCTACTCGATCGGTAACAGTGCTTGTGACTGAGACCACCCGTTCTCATCACAGTCACTGTTTCCCGTGTTAACCAGCGTCTGTAGAAAAATGAATTCCATCCAGAAAATAAAACGCTATAGCGATGCTTCTTTAGCCTCCTACGACCCCGCTAACAACCTGGGTTTATTGTTAGGGTAGATGACAATGTGGTGGTCGAACTGCAAATAATTCATTTCCGTTTGACCTCCGTGTATCAGTTCTCATGGTTTTTCGCTTATATAAAAGATACGTTGTATTATGTAAAGGTACAGGTAAGTTTGACTAGATCGCAATATTGTGAATTGTCGATGTGGAGCCCAGAGCCCTATTTCGGTGAGGGAATAGGGGAGTCTTTGATGAATAATGTACTTTGCAGTTTTTGATATGTCATAGCTGCTGAGTTGAAATGTGAACCTTTCGATCGCACCCGAATGAAGGTTATGGTTGTGGCAGTCCGTCCATCGAAGCAATACACCGGAACATTTCACACTCCGGTGTCCGTTGAATAGGAGCTCTCCTCTCTGGACTAAGCGTACTAATCCGCATCACATTCACGCATTTCGGGTGTCTGTTCGTTCACGACCTTGAACGGAACCAAACGCTTTCCCGTCATTCAGGTACCAAAACAATAATAACTGGATCAGAGATTGTTCGTTTGTACCGCGGTCCTCTTGCTCTCGGTCTCACAATGCCGGTGTCATGATTGCACAAAGTGTTGCCCGGTTGAGGATTACAGATGGGACATCACTAACTTGGCATACATAACACAGAAATCTCCTCCGAAACATACCGTCTCAGGTCCTGGCCGCACAA